TTAAGGGGATTAGGGATTAGGGTTTAGGGTTTAGGGGTTTAGGGTTTAGGGTTTGGAGTTTAGTAGCTTGGGAATTTATAGGGATCTCTCTCTCTCTCTCTCTCCCTCTCTCTGTCTTTATGATTTAGGTAGGGTAAGAAATGGAAACAAATGGGACCTTCAACATTATATGTGCTATAGTCTAAGCTCCTAGCTAGCATGACCCTTAGAAACCCTTGTAATACTCCCCTATACAAACCTCTTCGAGGAGTTTAGACTATAGTGCATATTTTGGGCTACTACAGGCCTCCATTCCTCCCGTCCCTTCTTACAGCCAGCAAGTCATTTTAGGGTTTAGGGTTTAGGGTGCAATGCCCATGGTATCTGCGGAACTATCTTACTTTTGTATATTCATCTATCGTATGATCCTCTGAATTTGTTCTGTTCGTCATACACCACACCACTATCATATCTTTCTCTCTTTCCTTGCAGAGGTTGCCTTTATTGCCTGTAGATGCTTCTCCTGGCATAGAGTGGATGATTCATTGGAGTGCCCAACCCTAAACCAGAAGCTCTAAACCCGAAACCCTAAACCCTTAACCCTTTCACCTAAGCCCTAAACCCTTAACCCTTAACCTCAAGCCCGAAGCCCTTAACCCTTAACCCTAAACAAGAGAAGGATTTTGGTTGCGAGGGTCTTGGCTGAGGCAGTGAAGCTTCAGAGCCTGGGATTTAGGGTTTAGGGTTTAGGGTGTTTGCCTTCCATCCAGTGCAGTACAGGCTAGAGAAACCGAGCTACAACCAGTTTGCAATTTATATCCCCCTACTAGTATAAACTGACGCCTTCTGTTAAGCTGCCTATAACTCGGTGCAGTGCGTGGTTTTTGGCAATCTGCACCTTCAGTTCCTGCACATTTGGTAGTTCAATATAATCCGTATTGTAGGGACCCAGGAAACCCCATTTCTCTGCCTCAGAACAACTGGAGCTGATTTGGCCCGAGCGGGTGCGTAGCTTGTGGCCAGTGCTTGCCATCCAGGCCCAATCGGTCTAGAGTTTAAGTTTAGGTTTAGGGTTGGATTTTCCGAAGATCAGCCAGTGCCAGAGCCACTTGCAAGTCTGCAATTGTCGTCTTGTGCAGGTGGTCCATATTCCGGTTTTGGTAGTGTCCACAAATATTGGGACCCCAGCCTTGATTCCAACAAACTATAAGATAGTATTTTGGGACCCCTGATTTTGGGAAACCCCCATAGTCTAAACCTTGAACCCTCTCTAGCCCTATAAAACTCCTATATAACCCTTATAAAGCCCATGTCCCCTTTAAAGACTTTAAAGGTACCCCTAATTTTGGGTGCCCTAAACCCTAAAAGCCCCCCAAACCCTAAACCCTGAACCCCAAACCCTAAACCCTAAACCCAGGCACCATGGGCCGCTGGCTGCTGGCCCTGGGCGCTGTCCTAAGCTCTGAGGTGCGCTATACTACCCGCGGTTGAGGGCTTAGAGTCTAGGGCTCAATAGGGTTAGGGTGAGGGTTTAGGGCTTTTAGGGCTACCCAAATGATTGAGAATCATATCGAAACCTATATATTGGGGCCTATATAGGGTCTAGGGATACTTTCTGGCCGCCGGAGCAGCCCGTCGATGCAGTCCAAGATGCCATATTTGCAGCTTGACCGTGCGGTGTAGGGTCTAGGTTGTAGGGTTTAGGGTTTCGACCCAGGCATTTATGGGCTGGGATTACGTCAATCTCCCCTATGCTGGCTCCTTTTCATAGAGTTCATAGGGCTTTAATCTACCTACAATGGTCCCTTGTGGTACCCACTACTGGGTGGGAGATTGACCCTGGCTTGAGATGTTTTGGCATCATGCTTGGGCTATCTTGCAGCGTTCAGTTTGCAGTGTGCCGCTTGTTCTGGCCGTCATCATGTTCAGGAAACCCCCAAAACCCTAAACCCTAAACCCTGTCATTCGTATGGTAGGTGAAGGCGCTGTCACCCTGCGATGATGAAGCTGGCCGGGTTTGCCCCATGAGCATTGGAAAGGAGATTCTTCACGTGGGGTTTAGGGGTTTCGGGTTTAGGGGTTTAGGGTTTAGGGTAGCATGCAGCTTCCTACCCAGTATGCATTGAGGGTCGGCATATGTGGGTGCCCCAAAGTTAGGGGGAACCTTTTTGGGGGTCCCTATAATAAGGATTTTTCTATTTGTGGGTCTGTATTGGGGTCACCCTAATTTGCGAAACTACCATGTCTTTTTGTTTCCTTGCCCAGGGCATGGCACAAGCATGGTCTGCTTGCAGGAGATTGGAGAGTGCCTCCTGGACCCTTCCAAACATCAGGCGGGCCTATGGGCGCCTAACATGGGGCCCTGAGGCCTTTCAGGAGGATTCTAGGGGCCCTTGAGGGTACATATGGGGTATATAGTTTCACGCCAGTGCAGCTGTTGCCGTTTCATGAATCCTCACGTTGTGTCTTGCAACCTCGCAGACTGCCGAACTGTGCCGTGCTAATTCGTTGTATTTCGGCATCGAGAACCGCAGTTAGTACTCTGAAGTCTTGTGAAGATTTGTGTGACTTTTGCGCGATGGCTGATCAGTTGACCGACATTGATGGCAATCCGCGCGAGCTTGAACCTGGCGAATCTTTCATTGAAATATCAGCTTTCTGGTTGGATTTGTTGCGCTTCCAGGTTAACCTGAGTTGCCCTGACACGCCGCTCACATGCACTCCATGTCTTCGCGATCTGGCCCCTTCTTGCTCCAATGCGGAACAGAACTAGTGGGTAAAGTGTGCAGTTGGAGGGCATGATGTTGTGGTTGGAAGATTTTCTCACGTCGCAGCCGAGGAGAAGCCGCTAGAGCTTTCAGCTGGATGCAAGGAGAGAGTTTCTGCTTCGTCTCGGCTTTGTAAGATGGCGGTTAATTTAAGTTCAACAGGCATACGCACCCTTTGCTGACTTTACGGACAGGATTTCGTTGAGGTGAACAAGGCCTGCGACAGCGAAATCGAGCAGTTCTGCCAAGGAATGAGTCTCGGCGGCAAAGCGTTTTACAGCACCTGTTTTTGGAAAAGAGGTCGTTTCTTCTGGCTCTACTGTGGAGAAGCGTAGGGAAGCCGCAGTTTTTGAGCTTGGCTAGAAACATAAGCTACTGCCAGTGATGTTAAGGAGCTCAAATTAGAAACCCTAGTATTGTATAACTATATACCCGTACTATGATAACTTGATTCAAGTTTCTTAACAGCAACCCGCTAAGCTTCTGAGGTACTATCATGGGGACACCATGACATGCTTAACTCAGTGGACCAGCCCGAGCGACCTGAGCAGCAGCTGCACGGCAGCTTTACCGAAGCAGGCTGGGGAAGGTTTGGATAGGGTTACATGGGATTATATCGGGGTTATATCGGGATTGTATAGAGGTATATATAGGGATTTGGGGAAGGGTCGAAGGCAGCGTCTTAAACTCAAGCTTTCTGTTTGAGAAGTGGGTCAAACAGGCCTGGTTTGGAGATCTATTCCATACCTATGCTTTGCATGATTTAGGGTAAAGCTGTGCGCAACCTGCTAAGCCACAGACTTCCTTGAAGCTCCTTCAGCTCGAAACTGAGTGCACGAGCTGCTGGCGCAGGCCTCGGGCGACGACGACGAGGCAGGCTGTAGCCTTGTCCCATACAGCGTGCTGTTGCAGACCTGCCGTAGTATGAGGACAGTAGGTTTCGGGTTTCGGAGAGCCAGCGCTTACCTCCAGCAGCCCGAAACCCTAAACCCCAAAACCCTAAACCTCGAGCTGATGAGGGCAGTTCGTATGCTCGGCAGGTCGATGCTGAAAAGGCCGCTTGGCGGGCCAAAAAGAAGGCAGCGAGGCCGCGACGTAGCCTTCCCCAAGTGGGGGTGTAGGGTTTAGGTTTTAGGGTTTAAGGTTTAGGGTTTAGGGTATAGGTTTTAGGTTTTAGGGTTTAGGTTTTAGGGTTTAGGTTTTAGGGTTT